GTCCTGCCGGGTCCCCGCCCACCCTAGGCGGAAGCTTTTCCCTTGCAGCCAACCCCAGCGTCCCCTGGCAAAGGCAGGGAAGAGTTAATGTTGAGTCTCTTCAGGGAGACGGGGGTCGGGGGTTTATGCCGGCGGGCTGCTGCTCCCACACCCCCCCGTCCTTCCAGCCTCCCCTTCCCCGCGGTGGGGAGTTCTGTCTCCTCAAAGGATCACTCGGTTCCTGCTGCTTCCCGCGGGTTTAGCTCTCGTGTAGCTGCAGTTGAGGCCTTTCTGGCACCAGGGAGTCATCACCCCATCATCTGTGCAGCCATTGCCACCTACATCTCTGCGCTGCTGATAGAAGCCAGAAGGATTTGGGGGGGGGGAGGGGGTTTATTTGATTGTTGGGTTTTTTTGCAATGCCATCTCTAATTTCAGTTCCTTTTCCCCTTCACCAATCCATACTTCATGTCTATTCGTGCCTGTGGTTTTGCTTTCCTCCATTTTTATCAAATTTTATCTTATGCATTTTTGGCAATACACTGTCATTACCTTGAATTTTAATTTCCCGCTCATCACACCTTCTTTACACCTCCTGAATTGGTATCATCAACACATTACATATGTACCAAAACCTCGTTTCAGTCAACTGCATTAGCTGGTTTGCTTTCTCTTCTTCATCAAACTAACAAAAAGAGGAAAGATTTAATGTAATTTGCTCCCTGTAAATCACTGCTGACTGGTTTTTGCTCATCTGAATGATGTCATGTGAGTGCTTGCAGATTTCTTGCATTGTGCTTTGCTGTGCTTTCTTTCCTGGTATTGGAGCTGGGGGAGCCAGCACTCTTTATTTCCTGGATCCTCTGTATTGCCTTTTAAACAGTGATTTTAAGTCCTTGTTCAGTCTTCTGGGACCTCCTTCACCATCCAGAAACTAACAAAGATAATTGCAAATTATTTTGGTTGCTCAGAGAGGTTGTGGGATCTCCATCCTTGGAGGTTTTCAAGGTGCAGTTGGATATTGCCCTGAGCAATATGGTGGGTCTCCATAGCTGCCTGTGGTTTGAGCAGGTGGTTGGGAGAGGCATCCTGAAGTCCCTTCCCACGTCAGTTACTGTATTTAGCTTCTCTGAACTCTCCTTATTCTGTTCCTTAGGCCTCAGTAGCAATGGGAAAAAGGAGATTTATGCAGTTTTGGGTCTTAAAATTAGCTGTAGATCTCAATGACATACTGAAGGAGAATGCGTATGTTCCTTCTGAACCATTGGGAAAGTAATCTGCAGTCTTGTAGGCATCCAGCAGCCATGGAGGCATTTAATGGTTAGGACCAGCGACATGGGAGAGAGGGATTTTGCTGTTACATCCAGTTTTACAAGTGATTCGCAGGTGAACCTCAGATTTTTGAATGCAGGATTCTACATTTTCCTACTGGAATAAATGTAAGCATTTACCTGCAAGTTTCCCTGGGTTAGTTGAGATGGATCTGAGCACTGAAGACAGTAGCTCTCATCTCAGTCTTACTCCAGGTGCTGAAGGAGCTGTGGGCATAAAGCCTTTTACTTGCCAGCAGTAGTCTGTCACTCCCCATGTGTAAGGTTTTTTTTTTACCAGGCTGTTTGTTGCAGTGACTTACTGCTTACTTGGACTATCATGGCCAACTTTCTTATCACAGATCTAAACCAACAGTTAAGTATTTAACTAATGCTCAAGTCAAATTTATTCCTGTAAGTCCCTTATCAAGTAACCATCATACTCTTAGATCCTTTCAGCAGGTTTAGAAAATAAAACATATCTTTTATTTTCTTTTGGCTATAGGAGTGATGTGGGAACCACCTGTTCTGTGTGAAGGACAAGAAATAAAGCATTGAATGAAGGGAAGAAACAAAACATCTGATAAATGGAAGCCATGAAGATATCAAAGCGGTTCTATGCTTTTGGGATTTTGGCATGCGTAGCTATTTATGTTGCATACATAAAATGGCACTTGGATTCCAAACCTGTCATGGGAGCAACAGAAGGAGCTGCTGAAAGCAGGGCAGACAAACTGAACCGTCAGGCACTGACCACGGACCTCTCGGTCTTTTATGGAATTATGTTTGACGCAGGAAGCACAGGAACTCGCATCCATATTTTTAAATTTACACAGCAGCCAAAAGGTAGGACCTGCTCATTGCACGGTAGATTAATTCTTCCATAACATATGGAGCAGATAATTGGTGGTGCTTTTCTAGGGATTACTTGAACAAACGTGCTCCGAAGAGCTGACTTTTCCTAGAAAGCCATCAGGAAGTGTGTTATGATTCAAGTGTGCGGGTTTGGATGAAATTATGAAAACATTCAGCAAGGAGAAAATGCTGTAGTGTCAGAATGAGAAATAAATAGCAGCTGTACCTTTAGAATGGAGCCTTGAAGAAGAGCAGTTTTTCATCACGCTGCTTGGTAGAAGAGAGGATTACAAATTCAAACTGCCTTATTCCCCCAAATTTTCATCATGAGATTGTTGGCTGTCTCCAGTTCCTGGCAGTGAGCTGCTTCTCTCTGCATTGTCTGGTTTAGTACATCCTTGGCTTCAGTGTTGGATTTAAATTTCAAAACTTCACTGTTTGATTAAAATCGCTGTGTGTTGCATCTGGACAGAAAGTATTGCTGAGAAGTGAGACAGAAGTGTACAAAAACGCTCCAGATTTCCTTGGGAGTTGTAACCTTCATTTGTTTAGGTGTTGTCAGCTCCTGTTTGTGAAACTCTTAAAGATGAAAGAACCTGTCTGGATGCTGTTAGTAGGTGATCTGAGGATGCTTTTAAGGATTAGCATCGAGGTGTTTGGTGTGATTGGTCTGTGGGGAGCACTTTAGGTTTGCAGAATGAGCTGGTGTAAGCCTTAGCCACCAAAGGTATTAAAAAATAGTCAATGGATTTCGTTCTTTATGTGTATTCCTGAATCTTTCCTTCTTCCTTGCGTGCTCCTCTTTAAACACAATTTCAGAATATATTGCAGCAAACTTTATGGGGTGTAGCTGAGTACAGGAGGAGGATGTTGCCAAGCTCTAGGTTCATGTAATTGTTTATACAGTAGGTTTCTGAAATACTTGGGTCTGGCTCCCTCTGCTGCTGTTGAAAATGATGGTGAAGCTTCCACTGGGTTTTGCTGGAGTCAAGTTTAGCCAGAAGAGAGCACTCTGAAACGTGGGGTCTTTGTTACCAGTGCAGTTTGGAAAGCTGCACATGCCAAGTGTAAGGGCTCAGAGAGAACTTGCACCTATCTGGGTGATTGTCTGATGTGCATGAAAAGTGTGTGCATAGTGGACACCAGCACCTGAAAAACAGTCGTGACTTCTAAAAATGGTTTTCTCAGAAGCTAATTCTGTAGCAAAGGCTGTATTGAAAGGTCGAGTGGCTGTTGGTAGTTCATTAGAGGCTTCAGCTGACTTTCATTAGCACATAATGATGTAATTTGTAAAATGGCTTTCTTTTTTGTGCATACAAAATTATTTGTGCCATTACTTATTTTGGAATACTGCTTTTGAACAGAGACTCCCAAATTAACCCACGAGACGTTTAAAGCACTGAAGCCGGGTCTATCCGCCTATGCTGACGATGTTGAAAAGGTAATTTTGTTTCTGTTACTGTAAAAGTATGTGCCCCAAAACCTCCTGTTCTTGATATGCCCTGCAAATCACATCCTGCTGTGGAACAGTATGCCGAATTGTCTCAGTTCAGGGAGGTGTCTCCAGATGATGCAAACCCACAGTAAAAGTTGGCCCACATGTAGAGGAGCAAGGAACAGAACACATCTAATTCTGCTCAGTGATGTTTTTCTTATCTCTGCCTTAAGAATTTTGATGTGCTTAAGAAAATGACAAAAGATGTGTGTTGGACTGGAGCAGAGCCTTCTCCAAAAGTGACCAGAATTGGATTCTCAGGAAAATAGTCTAAAAAACAGGCCAAGTACTAAGTGACTTCTGTCCCATCTCCCTTACCTTCTGGCTCCCAGGGATTTAGGGACTTCCTGAGCCAGACTAACACCCAGCTCACAGCATTTTACTGGCTCCAAAGGCCTTTTTTTTCCCAAGGATTTGTCATACTGCCTTTTGTAGCCCAAACATTTGGTGGCAGAGAGATCTATGTCACTGTTTGAAAAAGTGACTCTTGTTTGTTTTTGACCTCTTGTTGGATAATCCCCATTATATCCACCACTCTCACACTGTTGGAGATAGTGAGTCCTCCACCTTCTCCTGACCCCTTGTGAGATTCACTTGTCTCTGTGCCACCTTTACAGTGAATCATACCTCTGATCACCCTTTTGTCCTTCCAAGAAAGGCAAAACTAAAGAGTTTCTAAGATGCCTTTTTTTGTTCCTCTGCTCACAGAGTGGCCAGGGAATAAAAGAGCTCCTGGAGGTGGCAAAGAAGGAAGTTCCTATGGAGCTGTGGAAGTTTACTCCTCTGGTCCTGAAAGCCACAGCTGGTCTACGGTTGCTGCCAGGAGAGAAAGCTCAGAAGCTGCTGGATAAGGTACTGTTTCTTGTCTCTCTGTTTGGTTTCCAGAAATTTTCTAGCAGAGTTTGGTCCCTTCTATGTAAGGTGCAGCTCCTTTATCTTCATGTACCTGAGCCATTCCTGTCATTTAATTCTGGAAGCAGTGCAGAGCCACCTGATCTCAAATGGGGCTGAGGGGAGAAGCTGCATGAGGACAAGCACAGAGGAATGATGACAGCTCTGAATAAGCCTAGAGATGGCATATAACAAGTGTAGTGAGATACTCACAACAGTCATCAGAGACTTGTTCTTACTGGGCTTGTTTGTTGGTGGTTTTGACCAGGATGCTGCTATTTTGAGAAAAGCTCTCTGCTTGGTCATGTTATCAGCCTGCTGCTGCAAGGTTACTCCTTTATATTGATTGGAAATAATGTAAATTGTATTTATAGGCATGTAAAATATATTTAATATTTTAAAATATGTTCTAGACCTTAGGGCTGAGGGAAAAGTTTATTAAGTGTGCACTAAGTGTATTCTTTTTCTAAGTATAATGGGAAGGAAGAAATGTGGTGTGGTTGAAACCAATGTCTGTATTGTTCTCTGCTGCCTGTGAGCTGGCCCTTTCTTTTCCACATTGAATTTCAACTGCAACTACCACAGTTGTTAATTTAGAGGACTCTGGAAACTAGGGCTTTGATACCTCAGGCAGGATGTAGTATAGAGGCCCTCTAACAGCCAACATGCTCCTGTTAAAAATGCCATTCCCTGAGGAATTCCTGAAAGCCAAGGAATCTCCTGCCTCTCCTGTACATACATAGTACCCTGTGTGTCACCAGTTGCAGCAAAGTAAACTGGATACCTTTCCTTACCCATGTCCATCCCTTGTTAATGGCATTTCTGGGCAGTCTTCATGCTTGAAAACCCACACATCCGTCCCTGTCTCTGCACCGAACTGCAGAGCCAGCCTATAAATCACTGAGCTGTTATAGCAGAGCGCAGGCTGGTGCTTGTTGGACTCTTGAGCATTAAACAAAGTGGTGAGCAGCAGTCAGGATGTGGCCCAAGAAGAGAAGCAGTTGTGAAAAACTGGAGTTTTAAAAAAAAACTTGCTTTCCAGCTGAAAAAAGATTTCTCTGAGTGTAGTTTTTATTTGAACTACAGGTGAAAGAGATTTTTCAGGCCTCCCCCTTCTTCGTGAGGGACAACTGCGTGTCGATAATGAATGGAACCGACGAAGGTAGGCTAACTTGGGGAGACCTCTTCTGCAGTCCTGGAGATTCAATGCTGCACTGGGACAAGTCACCACTCACTGCAGGGGGAACCCACAAGCAGCGGGTTTGACACAGTTTTTATGCTGCCTCAGGCAGTGCCTGCCCAAGAGTTCTTGTGCTATGTTTTACAGTTTGAAGTCTTTAACTCTGTCCCAATTTTCAAAGTTCTGAGTGCCAGGCAGTTCCTGTGGGATCACCGGGAAGCCACTGTGCAGTCAGCACTTCTGGAAAGGTTTCTGATTGAGATGGCCTTGTTGAGATGGCCTTCAACAACCAGGGTCTGATTTTGCACACCCTGCTCTTGACAATGCTCATGAGAGCTGTCTGGAAGTATTTTGTCGTAATGTTAATTGTAACAGATATAATGAGTGTGATTGCTAATTCAGTTTGAAAAAAATGTTATATAGAAAAGAAAATACATGCTGAAAGAAGTTGATGCTCATCAAAAAATGCTGAGGACAGAACCCAGAATCAGTCTTGATTTAAAATAATTTGAAGAAACATGTCTTAAATTCTAAGTAACTGAGTGTTGAAATGTTTTAAATCTGCTTAGAAACCAAACTTTAAAATAGCTGGAGCCATTTGGAGCTGTTTATGAGCTTCTTTTTTGCTGCTTAATGGAAGAAAGACATTGTAATTCTTCTTTTTGTTTTGTTTTAAAATCATTAATAGCAGTGACAGCCTTGGTTCAGCCAAGGGTTGAACTGGACCATGTTGCCTAGCATGTCTTGAGTTTTAACCACATGGATAAATATTTGAATTTGTTAACATAAGGCCCCTTAATTCATCTAATTTATGGACAAAAGGTTTATAAAACAAGAAGAGGACAGAAACAGTGTAGCTGACAAAAATGTTTAGAGGAAAAATCAGAACACTGAAAAGATGAAAATTCTTAGTATTCAAAAGGTGTGTGGCATCAAACAGAAGCCTACCAGTGGACGTTTTCCTAGAAAATGAACAATGTGCCCATCATTTCCTTGTCTTTTAGCTAAAAGCTGAAGCCTTTGTGACTTCTTGCATAAGTTTTTGACCTGTCAAATACAGCATTCTCCAGGCATTTCATATATGGGTCTTCTCTTCCACATATCACATAAGCTCTGGTATAGAATGTTGTTCTCTTTGTTCAAGGCATCTAATCTTGGTTTTTTGACAGTTGCGAAAACACTGGCTTTGGGACAAGATGGGCCTGGGGAGCTCAGCAGAGCCAGTCCTATTCACCCTTCCTGAAAGTCCTTCTTGCTTAGCTCTCAGCTAGACATCCTTTGGAGACTCTGGATTAAAAAGTCCTCCATTTGTCAAAGGGGTATGAGGGAGCTTGAGGGAGATGGTCTCTGATGTCTCTGTCTATTGCTGGATGACAAGCTCTGGTTTGCTGATGATATTGTTTAGATGGTGCAGTTAAACTGTGTGAGAAAACTTATTAAAAATGCCTCCAGCTAAACAGATTCTAAAGCGGGAAGGCCTTGTAATATGGCTCACCTTATTTGTTACTGTTAGATAAAATGAAATGGGATGATATAACAGTATGTCTTCTGAATCTTTTCCTTACTAGGTATTTCAGCCTGGATCACAATCAATTTTTTAACAGGTATGTGTACATAAGCATGTGCATAAAGATATGACCGATGCTGTGATATTCATGCTGTTTTCTGCCCCTGCTTGGGATTTGCTCATTCATTGGGTTGGAGTGGAGGAAAGAAGGATCTGGGAATAAGTCAGCAGTTGGTCTTGGCTTGGCCTATTTAAGTCGTTAGGATTTTGGCCATTTGCTTGACAGAGTGAGGATTTTAATCCCTTTTCCTAGATGTTTAATGTAGCCTTTCTTTCAATCCCCTGTAGGGTACCACAGCATTTTATTCCTTTTTAGAGTCTCCCACTAGCTCTGGCTAAATTTTTTATGTGGATATTCTAGATGTGTTTGGCAGCTGCACAGAATGAAAGGAGATGTTATGCTACTTCCTTACAGATTTGTAACATAGAAATACCACAAGTGTTTACACTGCAGAGTTAGAAAAGGGTAGCTGAAGAGTAAAGAAAAAAACTAAGCTGAAGCTCACTCTGACAGTAAATAAAGCAATCTGCTGTCCGCGCGCTCTGTTCAGCACACACAGTGTGTGGAGCAATGCAACAAGTGCTCTAAAGCTTTTTATGCTCACAGGTGTATTGGAAAGGTCAGAGATCTTCAAACATCAGCTATACCGAGGTACTTGGCACAAACTAGTCTTGTCAAGAAGGTGTATTTGAAGGATCTAACTGAGAAGAACTGGATTTAAATGAGAAGAGAGGTCTGGGCTGGCAGCAGGAAGAATTCCAAGAGGACTGAGTCTCTTCAGCCAGCTCTTTTCAGTCTGTCATCCCCTTGGCCATAGGAACCTGCAAAATATCACGGAGAGATCAGGGAGAGGTGGCCAAGGAAACCACATTCCTCTGTGTTAGAAAGTGGTTACCAGAGTAGAGTTTGCAAAAGAGTCCTTGCATGCACTGAAAAATGGTTAGGAATCCAGTAACCAAAGCTGCTGTAATTAGGGCATGAACAGCCACCAGAGAAATAAGAAAAACTCTGTCACTTGAAGATTTCCAGGTCACCCTGATAAAGCCAAAATAAGTGCCCAGTAGAAGATGGTGTGGTTTAGTGCTGTCTGGAAGCTGGTAGATGGAGTTAGATTGTCCTCTTTCTTCACCACTGTACTTCTGGTTTTGTTCCCAGCCCGCTTCTCACAGTGCCCACATGGATTTCTCTCTTCTGTCACACATTTCAGGTAGCCTAGATGATCCACAGAAGAGAAGTGTAGGGATGCTGGATTTGGGTGGTGGATCAACACAGATCACCTTCCTTCCACGCACTGAGGTAATGTGAACATGCATGCTGTTGGGAAATGCTGGTGCAGAAATCAGTAACTCCTCAATTTGTTCCCTTGGAAACAGACCAAGAGTTTGTCCATGTGACATGAAGCCACGCTTTTGACAGAGAAACCCAGGTCACTTGGTCACATCTGCCGTGCAGGCATTCACAACTCTGTGTCAGTCCTCTTACTTCAACTCCATGGGTCGGTGGTGCATACGGTGAACCTGCCAGGGCTGCTTTACCTTGGGGAACATGCAGTGTTCACCTGAGCGTCTTAATCCTTGACTCTCAGTTTGTGCTGCTTATAATAATTCAAAGGCAATGCTGTTAATGAATTCAAGTCCAGCATTTGGCCTGTTCTCAGTTTTAAGAACACAGTAAGATGCCTTCTCAGTCCTTGTTTCTGATTTTCCTGAGTTCACTCAGGTTGCAAATGAATGCTTTCTAAGGAGCAACTGTTATTATGCAGTAAAAAAAAAAACACATGCTGATGTTTGTCATTTCAGTTTCCTGTTGTGGCATTTTTAAAGGTGTTCTGTCAGCTGGAAGCCCTGAAGATGTGGAGTTGTGAGGTTCTGGCTTGAGCAGAGATACTGTTCATAGGAAAGCTGCACAAAAGCAGAGGGTTGGGGTGCTGTATCTGGTGTCCCAGCCTGGGCTAATCAAGACATTGTGCTCTTACAGCAGAATGACAGGGGATGTGAAAAGTCTGGAATGTGGAAATTCTGGACTTGGAGATGGTGTTAAAAAAGCAGGAATAGCATCGTAGCCTGAGCTTTGCTCCCCACAAATGCGCTAGCTGTACCCGGTGCACTTAGGGAAGAGTCTGCAAAGTGCTTTTAGATAATTACCCTTTCATTTCTTCAGGCCACAGGCTGGTCCTCACTCTGTTCCTTGGCAGGCACAGCGATGTGCTTTTCCTCTGGCTTGTGGAAGTTCACAGCTGAATTCACTTGAGTAGGAAGTAAATGCGTGCCTGGCTTTCATATTATTTTGCACACAGTTTTCCCTAGTAGGGGTCATGTGAAGAGGCAGTTGCTGAAGCCTCTTGACAAAAGCAGTTAAGAGCTGGAATAAGGATTCCTTTTTAATTAAAATAATTCTTTTATACACCAATTTGGTGTGAATACAAATAGAAATGTAAGCAGTTTAGACTCTGTCATGTGAAGACACTATTTTAGCTTCAGGTTTTGTGGTTGCCTTGTGTGTCAGCAGTCAAATTGAAATACTTGCAAATTCATCATTTCTCTCTGAACCATGCTAGGATTGTTTTATGTTTTTCCTAATGTTTTGGAAGATTGTGTTGTTGATGTTTGCTGCTGCCGGCAGAAACCTTGCAGTGACATCTTTTTCTCCCTCCAGGCAACTCTCCAGACATCACCAGCTGGCCATACAACTTCATTTCAGATGTTTAACAACACCTATAAGCTGTATTCCTACAGGTTAGTTGTGGGAAAGAGAGCACACTGTACAGATAGAAGCTTTCTATGAAGCCAGTGAGATCTGGGTGTTTTGCTGAAGTGAGGTCCTTGCAAATGAGTACTGGGAAGAAGCAGAGAAACCTGAGCTGTGTCATTGTGGTGGGTTAACCTTGGCTACCTGCCACGTGCTCACCAAGCCACCTATCCCTCCCCTTTCATCAACAGGACAGGGGGAAGAAAATATGACAAAAAGCTTGTGGGTCAAGATAAGGACAGGGAGGTCACTTAGCAGTTACCGTCATGGGCAAAACAGATTTGACTTAGAGAAGTTAATTTAATTTATTGCCAATTAAAAAATAAGATCAGGAGAAATCAGAACAAAACCATGAACACCTTCCCCCCATCTCTCCCTCCTTCCCAGGCTCAGCTTTGCTCCCAACTCTTCTACTTCCTCACTGCTGAGCAGTGCAGGAGGATGGAGAATGGGGGTTGCAGTCAGCTCAGTGCTTTGTCTCTGCCATTCCTTTCTCCTCACAGTCTTCTCCTGCTCCCAGTGTAGAGGGAAGCAGCTTCTTCCCACCTGTGTTTGCTGTGGGGTGTGTTTGGGCTCAAAAAGAGTCAATTTTGTATGCTAGAGGAGAGTAGGAGAAACATTAAGGGAATACCTTTAGCATTCTTAGTTCTTCAAGAGCCAGATGACTGGTTGGCAGCTATTGCCTGTGCTTTTTCAAAGAGAGATCATCCTTCTGGGAAAGGGGAATGTGAGAGTGGGTTGTCACACTGTTCCCCGTATGTGCATTAGCTGCTGACTTGAGCCATTTTGCTGGGACCACATAGAGGAGACAGGCACATCCCAGCCAAGTTGTCAGTGGAGTATCAGAGGAAGGATGTTTGTTGTTCACAGAGGCTTTTATCCCTTTGCAGTTACCTGGGACTTGGGCTGATGTCAGCAAGGCTCGCCATTTTAGGAGGAGTTGAGGGAAAACCCTGTAAGTTATGGGCACTCATCAGGTCTTGGCTCTGAGCATGGGGTACATAGCCCTGTTGTGGGAGGGAGGAGTTGTCTGTCCCCTTCCCACTGGGCTCAAGGTTCCTGAGTGGTATGTGGGCTCCTGTCACCATGACTGGGTGCATTTGAGACAAATGCAGGAGGTGATGCTGCTAGAACCCAGGAGACCTGGATTCTTGCCAGCTTTGTGGGAGGAAGGGAACACATCTGAGCCATGACTGGGGCTTGGAAGTGCCTTGCTGAGGCTGTGGGGCTGTATGGAGCAGGGCTGGGGGTGAGGAATCTGAAATTACCTCCTTATAGTTTTCCCTAATGTGGCTTTTGTTTTACTTCTGCAGTAGGAGAAGGGGAGGAATTGATCAGCCCTTGTTTACCTCCTGGCTTCGAATCTGAATGGCAACATGCTGAGATAGTGTACAAAATTAAAGGACAGAAGGCAGGTATAGTGATTTATCACTCTTCCTATTTAGGCCAGCATGCTATTAGCTGAGTAAATGATACACTCCCAGCCTCTTGCAAAGACACTAGATTCTCTGTTTACTGTTCTGTCTGGCTCCTCTTGCCATGCTGTTAGATTCTGCAGCTCTTTCCTCTTGTGCCATGGTGTGTCTGTCCAATCAGTAAAGCTCCTAGTAGTAATGCAGATGGAGTTGAGCAATCCCTGAACAGGTCTTTCAGAATCCTTCTGCCTCAGATGATGTTGTCCATCTCTGATCTATCGCACACTCAGTCCCAGCCTGAGGATGGTAAGTGTTGCCACTGGAAGAAGGTGCAGATTTCACTTCTCCATGAAGAGTGTAGGGAGTGCTGTTGTGCAAAAGGGAGCCTGTTTCCTGGCAGATCCTAAATAAATTGCGTGTATATTTAACTCTCTGCCTATAATATGCTGGGTTTCTTTGCCTTTTTTTAGGTGAGCCTTTGTACGAGTCTTGTTCTAACAAAGTGGCAAAGATGCTCTACAGAAAAGTGCATAAAGCTGAGGAAGTGAAGGACTTGGATTTTTATGCTTTCTCCTACTACTATGACCGTGCAGCAGAGGTTGGTCTCATAGGTATGTTTGCTCCTGTTTTCATTTCATTTCAGATGACAAGTTGTGGGAGAGATGGTGACACTTATACACATCACGATGCTTTGCTGAGCTGTCATGGAACTTAGTCTTTTGTTACACTGCTGTGCAGTGTTGGTCTCGCCTGCATATTGCATTTTATTTAATTTTTATAAGAGAAGGGACTGGGGGTGTGAAATAGGACCTGCAACTTCTGGTAATGGTTTTTAAACAAGTTGTCTGCATTTCAGAAGTTGTTGTTGTCTGATTAACTCTACAATCCAAACGAGAAAAAAGCCCTCATAATGATAAACAAATTTCTTGGGCAGTAGAGCAGTAAAGTGATCTTGGGCTGTATGTTTTGCTTCACTGACTTTTTTAGATGGAATGAAGATTTTCAGGTAATTCCACATGTTCAGAATATCTCTTTTCCAGTGGTATGCTGGTGTACAGAAGGCTGTTGTGTTCAGTGGTAGATGGCAGATGATGAGCTCAAGCTAGTTTGGACAGACATACCCCCCTCCTCAGCCACTTGTTTTACAAATAATTTCAGATTTACTGTGTCATAGAGCACCCCTGGTCTGTCAGATCTGGTCAAAGGCTTTAACTGTGTTCAGGCACCACAGGGCAGGGCAGCACAGACATGGGGATGAGCTGTGTAAGCTATGTTTCTTTAGGAAATTAGGATAGAAGTTCTTTATGAAATGAGGCTTTTCATTCTATATTAAGAATATTTTAAAGATTCTTTTACCTTTAAAGCAAATGTGAGTTTTGATATTGATTTCAGTGGCTTGAGATTTGATTTCCAAACAGCTTTTATGACTTGAATCTACAACTGCTTTTATACAAAAGCCATAAAATTCCCCATTTGTTTTTTTTTTTTTTCTTTTAGATAAAGAAAGAGGAGGAAGCTTAACTGTCAGCGACTTTGAAATTGCAGCTAAATATGGTGAGTAAAATAAAAACACACACTAGTAATTGTAAGTTCATACCCAGGTGGCAAATGTGTAACACGCTAAGAAGCATGATTTATTTAAGTAAATATGGAGCACCTCTCTTGAGCACCTCTCTCCATAGCATCTCACCAACATTTTTGCTTATTTCTGAAAATCTCAACTATTTTTGTATTAATTCTAGCTTTTGCAGCCCATGTAAGACACATCTTATAATACTTATATGTCAAAACTCTCTCAAGAATTACTAATAAAACTACCAGTTAACAGTTGGCCTGAAATCATGCTTTCAGAATCGATGTGGGGGTTCTCATCCTGTTGGCATAATCTCTTCTAATCTGGTTTAATTTTTATTTTTGCCTCAAGATACGTTCATGTGCTTGATTGTTAATCGGAAAAGAGGGAAAACCGGTTCATAGCTTTTCACTTCATCAGCTGCAGAGAGAACTGCCTGTGCAGATTTACAAATGTAAACATTCTTTTCTTAATACCACAATCTCAGGCTTTGATTAAACTGACATGGGGCTTTTTGGTAAACTTTATAGATGACTGAACAATTGTTGCAGTTCTAGTTTCTGGGCTACCATTTGCGTAATTCATCCTGGGAAAGGAAGTGGGTTTGAATTTGGCTTTGTCTTTTCTTTTGTCCTTTTTTTTTTCCCTTTGGGTTTTTTCAACACCTGTTGAGTGCTTATGCTCAAGAAACGTAACACACCTGAGGTTGCTCAGATTTTTAAAGGCTTGAAGTAGATAGAAGAAAAGTTGGAAGTCCTTTTCATCCTTTCCCAGAGAGATACAAGAAATTCAGCTGTCTTGGGGGAGAGACAGAATGCCCTGGTCTTCCTTCCAGTGTGCCAAAGCTTTTGTGCTTCTGCTAACGTGTGCGTGTCATTTCAGCCCCCTTGTAACAGGTTCCATCAATGCGCAGCTCAGCTGACGAGGCTTTTTATGGATTCACTTGAGGGTTTTCAAAGCTGGCCTGATGCTAGGCCTGAGCCCACAGCATGTGTTCAGACATGTTTTCTTTCTCCTTAGTATGTAAGACCATGGAAATCAGCCCTGGAAGCAGCCCTTTTCTCTGCATGGACCTCACGTACATCACCTTCCTTCTGCAAGAACTGGGCTTCCCAAAGAGCCAAATCTTCAAGGTGTGATGGGTTTCTGGGGAGAGTGGGCAGGAGGGTGCTGAGGCAGCAGTCATCCCGCCTGTGGCTCAGGCCTTGAATTGCCTTCTTGCTACAACATGTGCTCTGTTATTGGGGGTGGAGGGGCACTGTCCCCACGATGGTGATAACCGGTTGTGATAACCTTCAGCACTGTATTCACCTTGCGTACTTCTCCTTCTCCCAAATAATTGTGTTTTAACTTGTTTGTTTGTTTGTTTTCCAGCTCGCCCGGAAAATCGACAGTGTTGAAACGAGCTGGGCGTTGGGAGCCACTTTTCATTACATCGATTCACTCAATAGACTGCAGCATTAAAGCTCCTTGAAGTTGGGAATCTCAGTTTTTGGAAGCCCAACATGGGAGAATCTGTTGAAGGGCCTGCTTTTGGCTTACAGAGTCCTTTGGGAGGTTGTCATAAACTAGGGCCCTTTCCTCCCAATCCCTGCCAAGTCCCCTCTATCACTAGCTCTTTTTTACAGTGCAGAGTGCACTATCTAAAGAATAAGCCTTGATTTAACAGCATCTGCAGTCAACTCGATGTAACTTTATCATTGTTGAAGGAAAACCAGGACTCTGCAGGACATCTATGATCTCTATGAGAAAAACACACCGTTTTGGAATATGCCTGTACTATGTGCTTGTACTGTGCTGAAGTCGCTGTAGGAAATGGCCACTCCAGAAGGAACTCTTTACTGTCCTGATTTCAGGGTGTTTTTTCCGGTTTGTCAGCAGTTTTCAGTGATTATTTTTATTTTACCACTTCCGTGTTTGAAGGTGAACTTGTGTGTGTGTGTGCGTGCCAAGGCGGTGCATTTACACCAATGTGCTGCTGACAGGCAGCAGTTTTGAAATGCAGCGTGGAAGTCTCAGCTCTGCTTTCCACATGCTGAACTAGAAAAGCTTAGAGGCACTTGAGAAACTGGATGTGGACTTAAGAGGTATGAATCAGAGCCCATGTGCCCCATAGGATTAAAGCCTATAGCCTATGTTGGTTCCCTGGCTGTTGGGAGATGGATGGTGGAAGACAACATCAGATTTGATGGACCTTGAGGAGCAAGGCCTGGGAGTTGGGTGTAGGGCTAATGATGGATTTGATCGAGTCAGTCACGGTAAGATGGATGAACAAGATACAACCACAAAAATAAGCCCTGAGCACGACTTACTCAACCTCACAGACATTAGTGCCTTGGCAAGGTTGATGCAGGGCCCAGGATTAATGCATTTATGTGGTGTTTTGGGTGCTGCTTCCTGAAGATGCATCTCACTTTGATAAATGAATGTATTGTGGTTGCAGTGCACCACTCCAAGTGTCCTGTTCGCAGGCTGGAAGTGATCTTGGAGGCAGCGGGAGCTGGAGAAGACATGCTGTGCTATTTGTAATCGAACTGTGGAATTGTGTTGTATTTGTGTGGGTGTTTAGAGCAGGCTTGAGTGGTCTGTCAGGGCTGCAAAAGGGCCCATCCTCCCAGAGAGCCAGCAGTGCGTGCCCCAGCTTTGTGGGCTTGCGGCCCCTTGACCTTTCCTGGGAGGCTGCGAGAGGTGGTATGGTGTGTGGTGCTGCATGGCTGCTGGCTCTGCAGCTGAGTGGACAGGGGACACTTGAACCCCGCTGTACTGACAATAAAACCACAATGTCAAATGAAAACCTGATGGTGGTGTGGCTTTTAGCACCAGCGTCCTCAGGGTGGGTGAGTTGAGAAATAAGTCCCCTTATGCCATCCCTGTCCCCTCATACCATTCCTGTCCCCTCAGGCCATCATAGTCCCTCCACTATCCTTGTCCCCTCCTGCCATCCCAGCCCCTGACACCATCCCTGTCCTCCACACCATC